CCATATTGCGCTGCTGTCTGGGGCATTTGCTCAATGGCTTGTATAGCAATACAATTTGCTCAAAGTCAGGATCCCAATCTCTCATGCCCAGGTGTTGCGTCTATGCAGCCGCCTTTGGTCTCAAATGAAATTGCATACATACAGCCACAACCCCAATGCCAGCTGTTTGATGCACACAATGCTTCATCTCATCTCATCTCATCTCATTTCATCCACATTGGAAGTTCCATTTTCCTATGCTCTCTAGCTATATGCCCATCTCCAAATCAAGACACTCTTCCACACTCCACCATTGAGACCATACAGTATAGGTATTCACCCTCACCACATAGAGCTTGAATCCCCCATTCCTTCTCCATGTTCTGATAGGCAATGATCCAATTGGCATGGCTCTGATCTGTCAGATCTCTCATCAAGCTTTTGCAAAAATAATAGCTGCTAGCTCTCATGATTCCCACACAGAAGTCCATCAACCATCATCTATCAGCAAGTTCAGGACATCACATCATACATCATCAGATCATCACCTCTATGAGGGGGACCTTATCTCCAAGACCTCCAATCTCAATGAGTCCTCAATCTCCAGCAACTGGGCTTGCCGGGCTCTTCCCCGGGAGGGGGGGGGGGGGAAAAAAACAAAAAACATTGCTCGCGGGATTGGGCAACCAATTTTTTTTTTCCCCCCCCCCCCCCAGAGAAGCCCAGGCCCAGGCCCCAGTGGCTGGAGATTGAGAACTCATTGAAATTGGAGGTCTTTCTGACCAGATCTCCCTCATAGAGGTGATGACCTGATGATGTATGATGGGATGTCGTGGACTTGCTGATAGATGATGGTTGAAGGACTTCTGTGTGGGAATCATGATAACTAGTATGTTTGAATAGGATTGATGAGAAATTTGGCAGATTACAAGTCGACATTTTTGCTAGACACGTTCTTCTAAACAACTAACATCTTCAAAAAAACGCAGAAAGCCACAAATCACAAAAAACGCGTAAAAGCCACACCCGCATAACTTCGTTTTCTGGAAATAGACCACGACCTTTTGAAGGAAATTTATCAAAACATTTTTGATAAACAATTAGTCAGAAAACACGGTGAAGTGATACACAAACGGGGAGGAATGAGAGCACTACAAAACAATTATATACTATTCACTATTGACTGTGTCGGGTCATTTGGTTCAGCAACGAACTGTGGATAGAGATACAATCATTTTAGTGTTCTACAACATCAAAACGATTGTATCTGAATATTGGGATGGAATAGGAAAGGATGAAAAATGGAGACACTGATTAATTCATAATATCTTAACTAAACATATTATGAACTAATCCTTCAAACCCAGAACCCCAAACATAAAACACAACAAGCGTAAACAAATCTTAACCTCATCCATTATCACCAAACAGAGTGATTTTTAGCACCAAATTTTCCCCAGAACCCCCCACACATAAAACATCAACAGCAAGGAAAACACATTGAACATCAACAAAAAATCATAACAAGCAACACACCAACAAATCCTCCCCAGAACTCCCTTTTTATAATTTTTTTGGGGGTGGAGAGGCCTCTAGTTTTGTTTGCCATACTTTTTTTTGCACATGTTTGACATCCCTTCCCTGCGAGGAGGCTGGTGCCCACCGGGCTATGTGGCTAGGATTGGCAAGTGGAAAGGGGGTCCTAATCACAACAGCCTCCACAATGAAGCTTGATAGAAAGGACTACTATGTTCATTGTGGATCTTTGTGAGCGGTGCTGGGCAGACATTTTCTGGATTCAAGCTGACCATGTGTTCTCCCTTGTTGCAGCTTAGGTGGACGAGAAAGGTCCCATTGGCCCGCTGGCAGAAACATGGCACTTGAAAGCTTTGCCTGCTGATGTGTGGGAGGAACACAGAGGCCAGGACAGGACCATTCTCCAGAGAGGGCGCACCCCTTTTATGTCTCGTTTTGCCGCCTTGGCTTTGGCAGGGATGCAAACACTCCAAGACAAAGAACAATCCTGCACATGAAGTGTTTGCAATTGGCTTTAGCCGGACGCCCGCAATCAGCGCAGGGTTCTTTGAGTCTCTCAAGCTCTCTTTCAACAACACTGATATTTGGGCCCAACGGACCTTGATGAATGTGCTCGATAGTTCAGGTGTCTTGCCAGAGCTAGCAGAATATTAATATTCATGCAGTGTGTTAAATTTTGCATTGGGTAAGGTTCTGCTGATTTTTTCTCCCTGTTCTTCTAGTCTTGCAGATGTTTTAGTGCGTCTTGTTTGTCGGACTTCACTTAAACCTTGGATCCACCGGCGTCAACAGACAATTCAGCTCATGATTCATGATGTCATGGACTAGCAAATGAGCTTGAACCTACACAGGCCTAGGTCCAGTCACAAACTGGCCACAGCAAATGCGTCTTATCATTGGCCCAAGGTCTGAGGATGTCTAAGGCTGTCTAAGGTCTCGGCATTTCTTCACGGGTCTGAGCCTGTGATCTGAGGCACCCTGACGATTCTACCAGAGGCGACCACAGATCACACCAACCTGGGCATCGATGCCACAATGGCCATGAAGAAGCCGTTACTGGTACTGAGAAGCTTTGATCCACATGAGGGAACATTTACCAAGTGGCTCCAGGACTGAGCGTACATCAGGGATGCAGGCAAGCATCTTTCGTGGTACGCCTCGGCGCTTCTTTGATCTTTGCGGCTTTCCGAATGCAGACGATTTCTGACGTTTGCTCCTTGGTTTGCAGGACAACAACGTCCAAGTTCTGAACATTAATGGCCCGCGGGAGTCATCCATTCCTGGCATCAATGCAGAGAGTACCCTGTTTTTGCAAACTTCTATATAACATGGCTGCTTTACATCTCTTGACTGAACATTTCACCAAGAACGAAAGAGGCGAAAAGGACAAGCTGGATCAAGTTGTGTTTTGCTGGATTCATACAGTTCCTGAATCAGAACATTCTGTCTTTCTGTGAAACTGGAAGGAGAGGTGAGAGTCCTGCTTGACTTCATTTTTTTTTTGTGTCGCTTGAATTTTGCAAGGCAAAGTGCTCTTTGAGAGGCTCTTCAGAAGGGCTCTGCACTAACTTTCGCTGTACAAGCTGCAAGCCTTGCTGGTCTTAGGGGGATTTGCTCGTCTTAGGTGACCGACATGATCCTTGGGGCACGTGTCTTGTGCCCTGTACAGATGTTCAGTGGAGTATGCGCCTGTCTGCGCTTGTCATTTCCCGGAGACTGATATGTCCAGTCAGCTGGGCCTTCAGCGGCGTGCAATTGATGTTGTATTCAGCAGCCAGCTTCTAGAGTGTCAGACTTCCTAAAGCAGTATCTGCAAAAAACAGATATGGTTGCTGTTTTCTGGTCCATGATGTTTTTAAGGATTCAATGGCAAAATGCACACAATTACAGCAGACATTGCTTGCTGGCCACAGCGTTTTGTACAGCAGAAAGCTGTGCCGAGTCAGACTATTTGCTGGCCCACTGGCATGAATGAAAGTGACATGTGAGTATTGAATATTGAACAGTCTTCATTGAGATTGGTTGACGTCACAGACATTGAATCTCCCAGGAAGCAAGAAGAGCGTGAGCGAGAAAAACTTGAACGCGAAGCACGAAAGGAGGCTCACTTACCATCCTCAGTCACGTGTTCTCTCACATGCTTGTTAGGTTTGTCGTGTTGGGATGGATCTTTTGCTTCATTGCATTTGGTTGTGTTTTTTTCAATCCAGTTTGGCAAAAAAATATGGATAGAGTTTGAGAAGAGTCTGAATGAGAACGAGTCATGGGCTTGCTTTTTGAGTCTCTTGGCGTCAGAGACGATGGAGTCTCTTTTCCAACACTTCAAGCGGGCCGAACCGCCACGTATGAGGCCGAGCGGCAAGAGCGAGAACGCCAGAAGCGCATGGAGGAGGTGAGGCCTCTTTTGAGGAAGAGTCTAAGAAGACCAGGGTCTTATGGTGGGTCAGCAGATTGAGTTCTACATATCGACAAATGGCTTCCAATAGGTTCTTAGAGAGGAGATGACTTTTTTGTCAATTTGGGTTACATACATAAATTAACTTTGTAGGCCAACCTTAAAAAGTGTTTGTATGACTTGCGTTGTGGTGTCTTCAGTCCCTGGCATCTTTCCATCGAACGCAAGGAGGTCCGCTTCAGCGGTACCCCTATGCTTTCAGTGCCACCACTCACTCAATCTTTCCAGTTGGCATCCATGTTGCTGCGACTCAGAAGCCGTGCAGGAAGAGCGGGAAAGGAGGGAGCTTGAAGAGCAACTTGAGCGTGAGGTGGGCAAGGGCTGGGGAGGGGGCAAGCAGTGAGTTATGAAAACCGCTTTTGGCAGGTGGTAGACATGATCATGATCATGTCAGTGGTGTCAGGCCTCTATGTGTATTTGTTTTTTCTAGGATCCTTTTTTGGGCAGGTTCCCCGGCACTGAGGGTGGGACCATCCGACCAAGTCACCTTGCAATTCTGGGCCGGCAACTAGAGGCTGCCCGGACCATCTCCTGCAGGAACGGGAGCGGCAAAACGCCCGGCGAGAAGCAGCGGAGAAAGCTGCGCAAGAGATGAAGAGGCTCCCCTAGCGAAGCAACAGAACAAGCAAGAGTTAGTCCTGTTGGTATTCTGCTCGTGAACCAACCTTGAAACGGTTCCGCTTTCTTTCAAAACCATCATGGAAGCTTCGCTTCTTCTCAGGGGTTTGTGGCTGGGATTTCTCTTGAAATCTGAAAAAGTGGTTGAGGGAAGATCTTAATTTCGCACCAGGGCGTGGGATCAGCCACCAGCAGAGGCCTCAGCGGAATAGTTCAGGCTTGCAAGCAAGTGGTGAGCGCATAGTCACACAGCTTTGGTCTCTGTGTGATCGGACTCTTTGCGACAGACACGTCCGCCTAAAATACAGCCTCACAATCGCTGTTGTAAATCTGTAGCTACTGTGCGTACGAAGAAATGGAATCGGGTGCGAGCAAGAAGTCCAGAAGCAATCCCCTGTGTCCTCCTGATTTCAAAGTCCTGTGAGATATGTCCAATGTGACGTATGCTATGCTTTGTTTACATGGTGCTGTGCTCTCAGCAATCTTCATTGGACCCGCTGAGGCGGAGGCTTCTCCCTCGCCGGTGCGTGTCCCGCGGGTGGTGGCGCCCGTACCACCCGTGCCCGTGGTGGTCACACCACCTGCACCTGTGATGACTCCCTTGATGCAGGCGTGGTTTGAGACACTGTGAATCCAAAAGCATCCAGCACAGAGAACCAAGGATAGGTCGGACAGGTGGAACGCCTGATAGATGGATGAATGAGAATGTAGGAATACACACCAGGGCTTTGACAAAGCACAGTGTGATGATTGGCACGTCTCTAACACATTTGCGTCTCGTGATGTTCCTTGAAGTGTTCTGCTGTTCTCGGGTTTGAGTGTGACTTCAATCAACGCCCAGGCTCAAGCTGCGGGTGCCAACATTGCCGCAGCGTTCCAATCTCAATAGAAAGATTGCTTCAGGCTTATGCCAGAATGCTTTTTCAGATTGGTGACTGAGGCTGATGGCCTCACATCCTGTTCACGGCTCAATGTGAGTATGGATTATTTTCATTCATTGCTTACACTTCATTGTTTGATCAAGCTCTGCAAGAGTATCTGACTTTAGACAGTGATTGCCTGCAGGCACCAGGAGGTGCGACTGGGGTTCGCTTCAGATTAATGATGCTTGTGAACTGGAAACCGGCGTTTTGATTCGAGGCCAAAGTTGCAATATGTTTCCAACCTTTTTGTTCTTCTCTGTGCCAGGTGAGGAGAGCGATGTGACCATCCATGTCCAGGTTCCAGCGCAGCGTGCCTGAGCCCTGGATGCGGCCGATGCGTCGATATGGATTTTGAACGAAGGGAACGAGTGGTTTGTGTGGAAATGCATTTTTCTGTTACTAGTAGCTTCTTGTTCCTAGATGTTCCTAGTAGTAATTGCCTCCAACCCCGTTAGTGATGACCTCCACCTAGTAGCTTCTTGTTACTAGTGTGGAAATGTTATTTGGACCGGATGTCCATGTGCAAGGTCAAAGATCTCCTGGGCGTTCAGGGAAGGAGCTGTTGGTTGGGGGGCTGGCAGGGCCTGTTGACTCATAGGAGTCATAGAGCAATCTTACCAGTCTTGAAAAGAGCTTCCCTTCGACATCGCCCATCTTTCCTTTCGGTTGGAACCACACGGGTGCGCTTGGAAGCTTCGAGGAACATCAAGGCCATCAAATCCCAGACGGGCGTTCTGAAGGTGGGTGTCTTGGACCGCAACGACCCCGCCAACGTGGAGATCGTCCGGACGCCCCAGACGAGATCGGAGTCCCGCTCCGGTCGTCCGGTTCCGGAACGGAGGTACCACGGGAACGGTGCAACGGTCCCACTTCGAACCTTCGATTTGGTGGCAGCGCGACCGCAACCATTCGTGAGAAAATAGAGAACAAAGAAAAACAATAAAAAACACAAACAACAAAACAAGAAAGAAGAGGCTTCCTCAGTCCGCGTTCAGAATGTATACAGCTGGTGAGCAGGTCTTCACACCCCACCCAAGCCGCTCCGGCTGTTCCGACCGGACACGAGCGACCGGTCCTTGGACGTACCGAGGTGGGCACCGCTAAAGCCGTGGAGCACTGTCGCTCCCTGGCCACGTGGAGCGAAGAGCAGTTTGCTTTTCTAGAGCAGTTCTTCTGGTTTGCGTCGATAGATCTAATAGGCGTTCTTGGCCATCACTTGACAAAGAACTCCAGCGGAGTTTGCTATTCGGGTTTGTATCAGTTTGCCAGCGGGGTTTGTGTGGATTTGCGGGCTTAGCCTGTTTCAAGCTCACATCCATCTTTGCAAAGAAGGGACATCCCGAACTCAACCTGTGAACTTTGGGTATAAGCCATCACCTGAATATAATCATATTGCTACATTCTGTCTGACGTGGTTCAGGTGAAGTCAGTGGTTGAAGGGGACCTCACAGCCATCGGCAACATCTCTGAGATGATGGACTGTGGGGGGGGGTGGAGAACATCGTTCTTTCGGCGCCCGGCAAAGCCGTCACACTTGGGCACCGTTCATGACTATCCTCTTCGTGAGGTTGGGTGATTTCCTGAAAGAATCGCTTCCATTTGATTCTTTTGATTTGGCAAGGACACCTTTTTGTGTGTGTGTTTTTCCACGCGCGCGTATCCTTGTAGGATATTGATGCGCGCCTGGTCTCTAGACTCATTGGGCCAAAAGGTGGGCCCCGTCGGATCTCCGATCCTCCATTGGAACGGCGGTCGGGTCCGGTGGGTCGGGTCGGGTGGGGTCGGGTGGGTCCATTCGAACTGCCCACTTCCCTGGGGGAAGAAGTTGCAAGCGAAGACGATGTTGGATGATGAATTCCCCTGCAATTGCTCAGCGAAGAAGTCTGGCGCATGACGGCATGAACCAGACTTTCAGGTCAGCACATCTCTAGCATGAAGGATCAGAGCGGCGCCTATCTGGCCGTTTGGGCACCTAGTCAGCTGCAAGGACAGTAGTGTCAGCAAGGCAAGAGCTGCTTTCACCTCTTCCAGCTGCAAGGTGAAGGAAGTATCTCCGGGTGTCAACAAGGCAAGAGCTCTGGAGCTTTGGAGACCCAGCTTTTCAGAATCACCAAATGGCTAGAACATGCTGCTAGAACCTTAATCAGATGCAATGTCTTTTGCCTTCCGGAGTTCGCTGCTCTTTTGGCAGACTGAACTACCATGATTTAACCGAGATACTCGTGTTTGGTGGCAATCGCATGTAAGAGCCATGGCATGCCATGTCCCCATGGTCATGTATCCCCCGATGGGCCAATCGCAGGTGGTGATCACTGGATTCCCCGACTGTGTCGCCAGAGGCCGCGAGCTGGTCGTGCCGCCCCAAGAACAACAGCCTGGAAACAGTTGAGCCATGTTGACACCCAAAAGGGCCCTAGTAGCGTCCTTGCTACTAGTAGCGATGCCAGGAGCCCCTAGTAGCGTCCTCGCTCCTAGTAGCGATGGGCTCCACCTCTCCATGGTTCTCGCTTTTGGGCGCAGCCAAGCAGGTGAACTTTCTGAACCAGGACCACTCGATGCCCATGCCAGGCTCTGCCGAGACGTTGTTCGGAGCGAAAGAATGGTGGGAGGTTTCGAGTAGCAGAAAGTAATCCCTGGCAGAGGAGCTCAGAGGATACCCCCAAGGCACTTTTTGTGTCGTCCATGATCGGATGGCAGGTCCTCATGCATTCCCACCTCACATGCTCGTGGCTGAGCGCGAGAGAGAGAGAGAGAGGTGTAGCGACAACGAAATCGAGCGTTCTGTTACTTGTATGTTAAGCAGATTCTGATTCACAATTGGTACACGTCTACTTAACATGTCCGGGAAGTATGACACGTAACTAGGGGAAGACTCACCAGTATAAGCTAATTCGCACAACTCAGGAAAAAGCAATGTTGTCATGATTGTTTTTCAATGTTCGTTGATTTGCGGCATATGAGGCAGGATACCAAAGCCTCTCAAAGACCATTGACAAATGTTGCCAACCTCCTTCTTACATAGAAGTTCTTGGGCCGCATAAGTCCTAGGCCACCAAATGGGATGCACCCTTGTGGCTGTGGGCACCAGGCGACACTTTTTGCAGATTGCATGCAGTGGCTCATCCCATTCGTTTGTGTACAGTGGCTCATCCCATTTCATTGCACCTCTCTAGATAGTTGCTTGATGTTGCAGCTTGCTGGGCAGAAATTTGCTGAACTGCATGCGCGTTGTTCAAACACAAAGGCGAATTTGACCGGTCTTGCTGGCATGGCAAGTCAGGCCTAAATTGATATTTATTGATCATTATTGACTGCCTCAATTTGTCATTTGTTCAATTCGATATAGACTTCCAACAAAGATCAAATCGACTTGGCATAAGATCCAGGAACCCACAGGTTGTTTGGCCCAATTTACCAGCACGTTTGAGGAGTATCCTATTCTCAAGCTACACCAGCGCTTCCTTGCCAACAAGTGTTGTGCGCCAACACGAGCTCTCGCGGCGTCAGGCTGAAGATGGGATGCTTGGCCGACCGCCAGCCGCGATCTCATGACAGTCATACAGCCGGTTGCTGTGGCAATCCCCCGTTCGTAGCGTCCGATCGCTCCTAGTAGCGATGCCCTTGTTCCTAGTAGCGTCCTTGCTCCTGGTAGTAAGGCCAGGAGCCCCTAGTAGCGTCCTTGCTTGCCAATAGGTATGAAACTGAGACTTCCCGTCCAATTCAAGCTGAACTTGAGCCGTTAGTGCCAGGCCCCAGTACCGAATTCGGCCGGCTGGGGTCCAGGTGGGGTTGACATCCATTTCCTCACGTAAGCCGTAAGCCTAATTTGCTCTTAGTCAAGAAAGCACTCTTGTTAAGAAGTGTTATTCTTAGAAAAGAAGGAAACGAAAGGCCTAAAGGTCTTAAACCAAAAAGAACAACAGAAAGGGACACACATGGAAAGAAAAGAACAAAACAAACATAAGGCAGAACATCAAACAGCTCTTCCTTTTTAACGTAGGAATGGGTTCGTTTAGTCCACGCCTTGTTGCGCTACCTCGTTGCATTGCCTCGGAATGCAGGCAAGGGCTTCGCCAAGGCGAAACGATTCGGGCTGGTACTGAAGCAAACTGTGCTGACCGACATGACAGTCATCGGTCATGATGAGAGTTTCCTGGAACAAAAAGGTGTTGTTCGAGACATGGACAGAATACATTGCGACCTGAACAACACACCTCTGGAGCGACCTATCATTTTGGCTTCGTGGCTTCAGTGGCTTCACAGAGCTTCGTGGCTTCGATGAAAACCCCACAACGTGCCATCTCACAACATGCAGAGCAATCCGACACCGGCCGATCACCTTGCACAGGGCCCAAATGCGTCTCAAGGCGCACTGCATGTTTTGTTAAAGGACAGTTTTGGGCCCGGCAGGACTTTGCAAAGCAATGACTTGTATACTCGTACATTTGACCACGTTTTGCTCCGCCGCGTCAAACGACTTGGATGTCTTCAAAAAGTTTTGAGATGGCGACCAAACATCCTTTCCAAAGGGGGATACGCCGAGTTGCGAGTTGTTTCTACGCTCACATTTTTCTACAGCCATTGACACAGCCTTCCTACTTTGACTTTTCAGGTTTCCTTTTATGTGATAGGAAGTGCAAGGTTCTTGGTGCACAGAGTCCCTTTATGCCTTAGGGCTTCGTGAGAATTCAGAACCGTTTCTATACAGCTCGCCCCTTGGATTGATAAAAATGCTTGGCAGCCCATACTCTGAGGTTGAAGTGCCATTTTTGGGGGGATGAATGGTTTCTACTTTGCGGGTCTGTTTTGCAAATTCACGCAGTGAGCAATTCGGAGCAGGGTGTTCGCTCAGAGACTGCGAAGGGGTTTACTCAGATGAGGCTTGATGATGGTGAGTGGTTGATGAGGTTCCAAATGTTCCTCACATTTCACAAGCCTATCAAGTCGATCGGGTCGTCGGGAGGTTGGCAAAACGAGTGGCCTGAAGGTCAGTGGCAAGGACGGATCTGGTAGAAATGGTGGGCTTAGAGCTATTGTTTGACTCTGGAATACTATACTATACGACACCATTTGACACTTCCCGAAACTTGCCCAGCAACCCAAATCCTCGTTCAGAAGTGGATAGTCTTTTCTTAATGTCATGACTTGAATTTGCATCGGACAAGAAGCTCGTGGCTCTCCGGACCATTTCGGTTGTGAGGAGATTGGCCCTCACCCGCATGGCCTGATCAAGCCTGGGGTAAAGGCGCACTTTTGGTGAATGACTTGATTACTTCTGTTTCTTTGAGGTTTTGATTGATACCTGGAGCACATGGCCGAATCCGAGTTTGTTGCTTCAGAGTTCAGCATTTTCATGCCATGCACTTCTGCAAGCTTGACAGTCAACCACTTTAAACTTATATAGCAAGGCGGAACTGGAGAGCACTCTTCCAAAGCAGACGTGCTTAAAGTGTAACAGCTTCCTGTGGAGGCAAAGGCAACTGGACCCCAATGGGTAACCCGAGCGACTTCGGCAAAGGACAGCAGCTTGAGTTGGAATACACGAAAGGCCATCAAAGCTGCTCTGGAGCAATGGTGCTGCTGCTCCTACTGCTACTGCTGCTACAACTACTAACTATTACTAACTACTAACTACTCACTACTCACTACTCACTACTCACTACTCACTACTCACTACTCACTACTCACTACTCACTACTCACTACT